CATTCACTGGGAGTGACATGACTCACTAAGCCCTAGCTCCAGATATTTCTCCAGTCTGTGTCAAGCACTTCAAGGATGTCAGAAGCACATACTGGGAGTCCAGAGGGCCTGATCTTAGCAAGAATGCCTCAAGGTCAGAGAGAAGACGTGGTTTCATAGTACCTTTCTAGGGTACTATAGATCATTGGGTCAGTATGGCACATCATGGAGGTGCTCAGACTCCAGAGTACAGGTATGAAGCAGTTTCTGTAAATAAAGACCCCTTACAGTTGCCTCAGAAAGGTCCAGAGTTAGTGCACCTGATGATCACCAGATCATCGGTGCATCCTGTGATCACCGGAAAATGGTGATCCCAGCACTTGGAGAGGCTAATGAAAAAGAGCAGTCAGAGATGTTTTCTGATTGTGTGGTACTTTGTATTCTCAAGAAAGGCCATGCTGAATTCCTTCTTAACAGCAGCACTTTCCACCTATTGATAAACTTTCAAGGCCAGGAGAGACCACTGGTATCGGCTTTGTTCATACAGATAGTAGCTTCTCTGTAAGGAATTGGTTCAGCATAGACTGAAAGTTTACTGGCAACATTTCTGTTCTTTCTCTACAAGCCACTGGGGCCGGAGGCAGCTGACCATGCTCTGCTGCCTTCTGGCTGAAGCCTGCCTGCTTCCCAGCAAGCTCGTGGTGTGCCAGCATTTTTGTGTCCCTGCTCTAGGACAGAGGAGGGGACTTCTAGACCTTTTCCTTGTTGGAACAAGGAAGCTTCTTTGCTTTTCCTGATGCTGCAGCATTTTTCAGAAGTACGATCAGCTTGCCCTATTTGGCACAAACTGGTATGTTTTGCATTGTTTTTTAATGCTGGAATTTTCCACAAAACAGCTTCAGTGAAGGCTGCTTGAGCATTTGTTCCAGAGAATTCTCACCTTGACTTGCATCCTAGCCCTAATATGTTCGTAACCTTTTCAGCCTCACCTTGCTGCTATAGCCTTGTCCATCTCTGCTGGATTAGGGAGCTACTTAGGACCTTTGTCCCCAGGATAAAGTACTGCAACTGTAACTGATTTTATTTGAATTTGGATGTAGAGCAAACAAATAGAAATAGGTTTCCAAAGGTTATGGCCTGAGGCAGGGCACAGAAGGCATTATGTCAAAGCTGAACTGCTCCAAGCAGTTTCACCCCATAGGCATCTCACAGGAAAGGAGAGGGCAGAGAAAGGAAAGGCAGAGGCCTGTTTAAAGATGACATAGATCAAAACAGGACTAATCTGAAGATAAAGCAAGCAATAATTAGTGTGTGTTATTGTTATTTAACAGAGGCGTTTAATGGCTCCCACGTATTATCTGGGGTTTTGTTTTGTTTTACTTCTGTAGAAGTCAGAAGCTGACTCTAGACTGAAAGCAGGCAGTGAAGCCTCGCTGCCAGGAGCCTGGCCAGGGAGCAGATCCTCAGCTCTGAGCCGGCACTGGTGGTTCTGCACTCTGGCTGCAGTGATGTGGTTGTGGTGGTGCAGGTTAGCTGTGCCATGGTGAAAACCATGGCTTCATGGCTGTTCTGATCACCATTCAGCTGAGACTGGGCAGAGCTCCGGTAGTTTGCAGGAAATGCACAGCTCTCTACTAGGAAACAGCCTGAGCTGCTCAGACCACCAGAGGGGCCAGCGCTGGCCCCTTGGTCAAGAAAAAATCTCAGATTTCATGCTTCAGGGTTGTTCATTTGGCAGCTTTCCTGAGCGCTGGATTCATTTATAGCTGTAAGTATACAAATGGATGTGCAGTACAATCGCCCTGCTTGGAAATCCCAGCAGAGCAAAGTATTTACCTCTGAAAAATGTTTGGAGTAACTCCTTTGCAATATATAGAGCAGTGAGCATTTCAGAAACAGTCTATGTATTTAAACAGTCATTACTGCCTTCTGGGTAAATAACACATGTTTTTAAAATGGTCTCTATACACAATAGGCACTAACACAATAAATCCTAATTGCTCTGAAGGACCCATTAGGCTCTATCAGGTCAAGAAATGATGGAGGTTTTTTTGAAAGTCACTCACCATGTTGTTACATAAGCCACAATTTGAAAGTCCATAAATAAGTATTTGCCCAATGAAGAGTGAGGGCCTTGCCAGGGCCATACTAATTTATCATGTCAACTTCACTATGGGGACTGTTTTCTTTTCAAAGGCCAGTGTTAAAAAAGAGGGGGGGAGGGGTTGGAGTACTGTGCAGTGTGTTTCAAAACGTACATATCTGAGAAGATTCAGGCTGTAATGTGCCCACCAGGGGAAGCAAATGTAATGTTCCCTGCCTCCTCCTTAGCTCGGTGCTGTGTGAATCATGGTGTGATGCAGAGAGCTGTGAAGCTGCAGGTCTGGGGCTTTTCCTCCTCCTACTGCTCCCTAGGGCTGTGGCCCCGAGGTCCCTCTGCCTGATGTGGGCTGCAGGGCAGCCCCTCAGTGCAGTTGCACCCCCAGTCCCTATGGGGACAGACAGAGGCCAGTTGTGTACATTGTATGTGCCATGATATGCACAGATAAGTCATAATGGAATTGTTGAGGTAAAGAATTGACAGATCTAGCAAGATGAGCTTTAAGTGCAGCCACTCCTCCTGACTTTGCTGTAGCTTTCCACATGTAAAGTTTTGGTTGCATTTTGCAAAGTGTAGCACTCAGGTCAGCTGTTGGTGCCACCTATGTCACTGTTAGAAACCACGTTTTGTGTTAATTCACTTGGAATGTGTCTATTCCATGGAGCTTTTTGAATATGACTGTGAGTTGGCAGGGTTTTGTTTCCCACACTATTTTGAGATGTGTAATTGTCCAGGTATCTGTATAAACAAACAGCAGTGATGAAAGTTTGGGTTTTCCAGGGAATTTCAGTAAGGCATGCATGGTGAAAGTGTTGAAGTGATTTAAATCCAAATTCCTGTCCGCAGCCCAAAGCTTGTAAATCATTTTGCTCATGAGAAAATGCTGGCCTGCTGCTGCTGCACTTTGTGGGACTGGGTGCCAGAGTCCTGCCATGCTGGCAGCAGCTCGCAGCCTGCCTGCCCCTGCTGTCCCTCTACCTGCTGGCCCCTAGTGTGCAGGGACTTTGTGTCTTATTTCGCACCCCCACTGGCTCTGGCAGTGAGGGGAGGTCTGTGTGGGTTCCAAGGCTTGCAGCACTGGCAGCCCGCGGCCTTGTGGCTCAAGTGGGAGTGCAGAAACACCACTCACTAAGCCACTGGTAGGGGGTCACTGCACGTGTGAGCACCCCCCCAAGTGGGGTATCCACAGCTGCCTGCGGGCATTGGGAGCTCTTTGCAGATGTCTGCTGAGCTCCCTAATAAGGGCAATGGAAGTGACTGGTCTTTACAAAGGGATCTCCCTTAGTCCTATCCTCAAGTCCTTTAGAAGTGACCATATCCCCCAGAAAGACAGTTTGCCCAGGTAAAAATTGAAGGCTGACAACACAGAACCAAGCACAGAAACACTTAACCGCCTTCTGACTTTCTGTTCCTGCAGGAACCACTGAACCCCCTTGCTGGAAGTGCACCTATGGGGAAAGGTACACGTGAGTGGCCTTGCCCCTGCCCCTCTCCTTGGGGCTGCAGCCCAGTTCCCAGGCACAGCTGTCAGCGTGGGACAGCTTGAGGAACACCTCTGCATGGGGATTGAAGGTAACGCAATTTCTTAATAACGTGTAGAATTTATTAATGATGGTGGAAAGGTCTCAAGTGCGAGGAATGCTTTCTTGTTTGTCAGGATTCAGCGTGGTAGGTTTGAGGCAGGCACGGGGTGTTGCTAACGGCGCTGTGTATGCATGCAGTGATGTGCTCGTGCTGTGCAGTAGGGATGGGTAGCAGCTTACCGACTGCACTCGCTCTTACACCATATTTAATCCTGCTCTGGTTGCTCTGCTGCATATTCATAACAACAAAAAGGAAACAGAAACACAGATGTCTACCTGGCTCTTAATTGGGTTTCATGTATCCCCAGTGTAGCAAATGCAGTGTTATTTATAGCCAGGCCCTAAGAATTAGGTGCATCTGGAGCAGTGGCAGAACCCACGCCAGGCTGCAGGCTGATGGATGGGTGGAGTGAAGCGCTGCCTCGCTCTGCCCTTCCTGTGCCCCCCTGCCTACCTGTCCCCACTGTGTGTCAGACCAAACTGATACTGCCAGAGGGAATGCTTACAGAATTGAAATACATGGGAAAAAAGGAGAATTTCTGCTCTAATGCAGCCGCATCAGCATTTTCTAATTGCACAGCGATGATAACAAAAAGCTGCCCTCTACTCTCACTGTAATTGGGGTAATCAGCTGAGGGCCATAATGAAACTGTCTGTGATTTGCCTTCTGCTGGGCTGTGACTTCACAGAAACGCAGTCGGGCAGAATTAAAAGTTATGGCTCCTGCTGCAGGGCTGTGCTGCTGCACACCAGCGCCCTGTGCCCGTACTGCAGGCAGCCGAGTGCTGTGGGGACCGGAGCGCTTTTGGCCTTTTTTAAGTTGTTCGGCAGCGGAGGTGGCGGCGCCGAGCAGAGCTGCGCCCCGGTTCTTGCCTGTTGGCCTTCGGCTGCTGCCGCGGGGTTGGGATGACCCGGAGGGGGTGCGGAAGGAAGGCGGCCGTGACGCGCAGGGGTGCCGGCAGCGGGGATCTGTGCGCTCCGAGGGAGTCGGTATGGACGGACAAGAGGCAGCGCGCTGAGAGCTTCGGGAAGGTCCGGGCCTGCTTCGCGAACAGCGCCGCGTGCTCGCGGGTCTTTACCCGCCGCGGAGGCAGAGGCGGTGCCGAGCCGGGGGCGGGCGGAGCCGGCATTGGGGGCGGGGCCGTAGGCGGTCCGGGGGCGCGGTCCGGCGCGGCGCGGAGCCGGGGCGCCCGCCCGCCCCAGAGCGCAGGTGGCGGCGGCGGCGGCGGCACGACTGGTCCCGGCGGGGCTCGCTCCCGGCCCCGCTCCCGGCGCGGCGGCGACAGGGCGGGGGCAGGCGCCCGGGGCATGCGGCGGCGGTAGGACGGGCGGCGGCAATGGGCGGCCGGGGGCTGCCGGTCCTGCTGCTGCTGGGGCTGCCGCTGCTGCTGGGGCTGCCGGCGGCGGGGCGCGCCGCCTCCAAGGCGCCGGTGTGCCAGGAGATCACGGTGCCGATGTGCAAGGGCATCGGCTACAACCTCACCTACATGCCCAACCAGTTCAACCATGACACGCAGGACGAGGCCGGGCTGGAGGTGCACCAGTTCTGGCCGCTGGTGGAGATCCAGTGCTCCCCGGACCTGCGCTTCTTCCTCTGCAGCATGTACACCCCCATCTGCCTGCCCGACTACACCAAGCCGCTGCCCCCCTGCCGCTCCGTCTGCGAGCGGGCCAAGGCGGGCTGCTCGCCCATCATGCAGCAGTATGGCTTTGCCTGGCCAGAGAGGATGAGTTGCGACAGCCTGCCGGTGCTGGGGGACGCCGAGGAGCTCTGCATGGGCTACAACCGCACGGAGGCCACCACCTTGCCGCCTTTCTTCGGGAAACCCACACGCCCAGCCAAGGACACAGCCAAAAGCCAGCTGCCGAGCGGTAGGCACCCGCCGGGCACCGACTGCGGCCGGACCTGCAAGTGCAAGGCGCCACTGGTGCCCATCTCCAAGGAGTCCCATCCGCTGTATAACCGCATCCGGACCGGGCAGGTGCCCAACTGCGCTATGCCCTGCTACCAGCCCTACTTCACCCAGGACGAGAAGACCTTTGCCACTTTCTGGATCGGCCTCTGGTCCATCCTTTGTTTCCTCTCCACTTCCACCACTGTGGCTACCTTCCTCATTGACATGGAACGTTTCAAGTACCCTGAGCGCCCCATCATCTTCCTCTCTGCGTGCTACCTCTTCGTCTCCGTGGGCTACATTGTACGGCTGGTAGCGGGACATGCCAGTGTGGCTTGCGACCCCGAGCACCACCACATCCACTATGAGACCACGGGCCCCGCACTCTGCACTGTGGTTTTTCTGCTCCTCTACTTCTTTGGCATGGCCAGCTCCATCTGGTGGGTCATCCTGTCCCTCACCTGGTTCCTGGCAGCTGGCATGAAGTGGGGCAACGAGGCTATCGCGAGCTATGCGCAGTACTTCCACCTGGCTGCCTGGCTCATCCCCAGTGCCAAGTCAATTACTGTGCTGGCGCTCAGCTCCGTGGATGGGGACTCGGTAGCTGGGGTTTGCTACGTGGGCAACCAGAGCCTGGAGAATCTGCGTGGCTTTGTGCTGGCACCGCTGGTCGTGTATCTCTTCACTGGCAGTCTCTTCCTGCTGGCCGGCTTCGTCTCGCTGTTCCGCATCCGCAGCGTGATCAAGCAGGGCGGCACCAAGACTGACAAGCTGGAGAAGCTGATGATCCGCATCGGTATCTTCACCGTGCTCTACACTGTGCCTGCCACCATTGTCATTGCCTGCTACATCTATGAGCAGCACAACCGGGAGGCGTGGGAGCAGGCGCAGAACTGCTCCTGCCCAGGGGACCCCCACCGCCCCAAGCCTGACTATGCTGTATTCATGCTCAAGTACTTCATGTGCCTCGTGGTGGGCATCACTTCTGGCGTCTGGATCTGGTCTGGCAAAACTCTCGAGTCCTGGCGGCGCTTCACAGCCCGCTGCTGCCGGCCAAAGAAGCCAGCAGGTGCTGCTGCATACGGTGAGGTCAGCCCAGCACTGGTGGGCAGGACGGTGCTGCCCAGCATGGCCTCCTACCACAAGCAGGTCCCGCTGTCCCATGTGTGATCGGAAGGAGCCGTGGTGACCCCAGCATGGAGGGAGGAGAGGGTTGCAAAGACCCAATGCTGCAGCACAGGGAGCGGCGGCAGAGCCACCCTGCCACCCCAGTCCCCACAGCAGAGCGGAGCAGCCCAGGACCAAGCGTAGCCCCAGTCAGGGCAAGAGAGGTGCCACCAGCAACATGGGGACAGAGGGTCGGTGCTGGGAGCCCAGCGCTACCATGAGCTGGGACACATCATGAAGTGATGTGTGGGCTGGGTAGGTGGCAGCAGCCCCACAGCCTCTGGACGGGTTGTGCTGGTACTGGGACGAGGGGGAGAGCTGCAGCAGGCATGGCTGGTGGCAGCCCTATCTCTAGTGATCCCCAGCACCAGAACTGAGCTGCTTGCCAGAGCTGGGAAGCATGAGAGGAGTCAGGATAGCAGGTCGGGGACATCCCACATATCACCAGGCAGAGAGCTGGTGGCCCTGGCACAGGCTTAGAGGCAGGGGTTGAGCTGCACAGGTGCTGGCAGAACAGGAGGATGGGGCTCAACAAAGTCCTGCTGCCAGCCCACACAGAGCCCGGCATGCTGCCAAGAAGCCTGGGGCCCAGGAGCCCTGAGCCCCCAGCAAGCACATGCCAGCTCCCTGACAGGGCTGGTGCTTTGCACTGCTAGCTCTGGCACTTTGGAAAGCGGTTGGCAATGCTCCACACCTCTGTGTCAGGCAAGTTTGTAGCATCTCCCCCGTGCTGTGCAGGCTGCCTGGGGCAAGGCAGGGGTCGTGTCATAGACGGAAATGCACTGTGTGTGTGTGTGTATATCGGCAGCAGGAGGTGTGTGCGTGGGGTCTGTGAAGCAGGTGGTAGCTGCGTGTGCTGGGAAGCAGTGGGGTCAGCAGCCAGCCGGCTCCAGCCCTCCTTGCTGCTTTTTTGGAAGCTGCACCTCTGTCAGACAGCACCAGGCTCAGGACTGAGCCGGTAATTCAGGAATAGTCAGCAGAGTGCTCACACTTTCTCCCGCATCGCAGCCTCTTCCCAGGGTTGGGCAGCAGCAGGGCACTGACAGAAGCAGTGCGAGGCGTTACACTCTGGGGACATCTGGGCCTAGGTTGGTAGCACATGGGTGCTGTGTCAGCCCCTTGAGTGGGACAAGGGAGTGGCAGCAGGGATGGGCTGCTGAGAGGCAGCTGCAGCCAGCTCCTGCCTGCTTTTGAAAGAACCCAGGTGTTTAGTCTGGTTTCCCTGCCCCAAATGGGATCACATATGTAACTTTGCAGAAATGATTACGGGAGTTCTTTTGTCCCCTTCCAACCATGGCGCCACGACCCAGCTGCATTGCTCTTGCGGGACTGCCAGGGCCCCAGGTTGTTCAAGATGCCCTCAGAACACTTCACAGTCAAGGAGGTTTCCAAGCCTTTTAAAACCAAAGTCTGGGAAGCAGGGGACCCTCTGGTGGCACAGCTGCTGATACAGATGGTGCCAGGACGTGGCATGTGTGCAGAGCGGTGCAGGGCCAGAGTGCTCCGTGGGACCCTCTCACAGCTGCAGGGCACTGTTGCGACAGAGGTTGGCTCGCTTTGGTGTGTTGCAGTACTTCACCTTGGGCAGCATTGCACCATGTTCTGTTACAAACTGTAAATAGCTGTATATAGTTGTTTTGTACTTTCAGGAGCTGGGGTGAACTTTGATACAGGTTTGGGGCAGGTGTGTGCTCAGTGTGGGGCAGGTCAGGCGCGGCACTGTGGGCATATGTGTGTTGTAATCCTGGGCATTAAATAGCTCCAACCTGATCCAACCCACGCCTTGCTGGACTTGTCTCTTTCTATAGTGCCTTCTGTAGATGCAGCTAAGCACACCATGCAATACAATGAACAAAACCATGGTAAAGGTGGTGTTTTTCTGTTTGTTTGCTTCTTTTTTTAAGTCTAACTGACTGTGTAAAACTTTTTTTTTAAGGAAAAAAAGAAATCCAAACTCAAGTGCAGGCTTGCCTATTGAAAAGTTTCCGGGAGGCCACTCTGTTCTGACCGGTTGGTGCCAGCAGCCTGGGGCTGACCCTGGCCTCAGCACTGCCCTGCAGGCAGGGCAAGGTGTGGAGCCAGTGCCCCTGTGCTGTGGGTAACTGACATGTTGCTTTGGCATTGTTGTTTAGTGGTGCTCTTCAACTTTTGTTTATATAACCATATTATATTTTGTGAAAAGCTGAAGAAATTTTATTCAAAGAGAAGTATAGAGATTAGTTATTTATCAGGAAAAAGATGTGTGTGCTGTTTTCTTTGCTTGTATGCTTATGCTAACCTGATAATTACCACAAAAGCTTACTGTGGGGAAAGGGGAGGAGTGTGCGGGAGGGCTGTGCTGTCTTCTTATCGGCAGGGATCAGCGGGGACTTGGGAGGCAACCGCAGCAGCCCTGTCCAGATGTGCTGCCGAGAGCACCAAGCCCTGCGCAGCTCTGCCCTCAGTGTGAGGCTGTGCGCCCTGGCCCATGGCAGCAGCCCACCCAGCTTGGGAATGAGTTTGGGTCTGCAGGGTGTTGGCAGCACGTACTGCTGGCACCACCCCTGGCTTTGCTGACAGAGCTCCTGGGCAGGCCAAGGTCACACCTTCCTGGTGGAAGACAGTTAACGATCAACTTTTATTGGTGTTCTTGCAGTTTGCACGGTATCGGTCCCTCACTCTGCCTCGAGATCGAGCGCCAAAGAGTTGCCCTTTGGTACTTAGCAGGTGCCAGCTCTTGGCCAAGGAGGATGTTGTGTGCTGATTTAAGTGTCCTTGTTGCCATCTGCTGTACACTCTCCTGTGGTGGGAAGAGTGCAAAGGGAGGACAATGAGGGGTTAAGTTGGCTGTGCTGTGACTAATGGTGCAGGACTCTGCTATCTAGTTAGGTGTGTAGGCACACACGGGTCCCACTAGATAGGATCTCTTACCTGAAAGCAGCATTCCAGTGCCCCATGATAAAACTGATGGAGCCAGCAATGCACTGACTCACCCAAGCCCTCTGTGGTTAGGTGCAGACAAAGGACACCCAGCAGCTGAGCCTGCCCTGTGCAGGGCAGCTGCTGTGCGGCTATGTGGGCATGCCCCACCTCAGCATGAGGACTTACCTGGGTGCTGAAGGCACCTTGCCTGTTTCCAGCTGTAAAGCCTGCTTGGCAGCAGGGTTACTGCCAAAGCTTCCTGAGAATCTTCTGTGTTCTCAGTGCCTCAGTAAGCAGGAGTTTGGCAAAGCTGCCATCCGCTGCCACCTTGAGATCGATTTTGATCAAGAGAAGGGCCATGGCTGCAGTCATTTGTTGGTGAACCACCACCAAAGGCTGCAGGACTTTGCACAGCTACACGCAGCCCACCCTGATGGTGTGGTGTCACACACCTGTGCTCTGTGTCCCATTGGGCCCATTCAGGCTGCCCTCAAGGCAAGAGCAGGCTCTCTTGGTATCGACTAGTGCAATGCACTTTGTGTGGGGAAAAGTAGTATCTGGCAGAACAGGGATCTGGCCCTGCAAATGGGGTTTTACGTGACAGGGGCAGGAGGCAAAGTGGTGATTTTGTTCCTGGAAATGCCTTGCTCCCTAAGGCAGCAAACTGGCCCATTTTCAGCGATGTGCTTTACCCAGCTATTAAACTGCATATATGTATGTGTGCATGGTAGCGCAACAGTGCACTATATTCACTGCTACAGCACGACAGCACATATTTTGCCTCTTTCTCAGAGAACACTGAACAGTCAGGCATAAGCCCTGCTGCACTATGGGAATTAGCAGCTTGGGCCATAGGCAGCAGCCCGCCTTCTTCTGGGCTCTGACCCATCAGCCAACAGCACCCACACAGCTGCTACGCCCCCCCTGCAAACTCTGACCTCAATTGCTCTTGTGCCCTCTTCTGCTTGTCAGGTTATTCCTGATGCGTATATTCTTACCCAGAAGCAATGTTCTTGACATTTATTCAGTCTCTGAAGTGCCTGTCCTCTTAACTGCCAAACCCACGCTGAAGTAGCTCTCATAAAGTTCCCTTAGAAACAAAATGCACACAGTCCCCATACACAAACAGAAAGGCCTTCTGACTCCCAAAGGCATCATGTAGCCCAGAAACACATCAGTGAGTTGCTGCCCATATGGACCTGTATCACACGCTGCTCGCGTTACTCTTGATGGGTCACGATATAGCTATTGTCTAGGGAAGCTGTTAAGTGGAACCACCCTGGGACTGAATGCAACTGAAGGTCACCTCACCTTAGATTTACTCTTCACAAATGAGCATTCTCATCGCAGGCTGTTGTTGCTGGGTATTCTTCTAAGGCAACAGAGGTAGGTACACTCACTGTAATGCTAGTGTTCTAGAGATGATTCTATTATTTTTCATTTTGCCTTTGTACGAAAAATACTGCCAACAAATAAAGCACAGCTCAGCTCCCCGCAGAACCCACCCCCCAAATGCAGTTCCCTCTGAAATTGTATCTATCTTTGTTCTTCAACTGCACTCTTTTAAAAGTTTTACTTCCCACTGATTACCTAAGAAATGCTGTAGGTATGTTTTCCTGGATCTCTTTCATATGGCCCAGAATGTTAAGGGCAATTGCTATTTTCCCCTCTCTTAAGAAATCATGATTCTATTGACAAAGTGCTCTGGGCTAAGCTACAGAAAAACTAAAACCAGTTAAAGTTTAGGCAAAATTAAGCTGGGAGCATCAGGTTCCTGGACAAGTGTACAGCTGTCTGAGTTGACACCCGCCTGACAGGCAGATCAGCAGGACGAGCCTCGCTCTACTTTGGCCAAAAGGTGAGTGAATGCCACAAGTTCCTGCTGAGCACCTTAGAGCTGAACGGCTGCAGCTACAGAAACCATGTGCCAGCCCACAGTGAAGCGAATCCAGACCCCATCACACAAAGTAAAAGGCACCCAGTCGCTTGTAGATTCCTATTGAGTGCTCAAGGGGGGATTAAAAAACTTCCAGTTAGCACCAGACAGATATTGTAGAGGGCTGAGTCAAATTCCAAACTAAAACAAGTGGAAATAGCCAGGCAGCTACAGAAGGCTTCTGCTGCTCATCCAGCTGAGGGCCCTGGCCCATCCTGCAGAGCAAGCAGCACACAGTTGCCCAATGACCTCTGCTGTGGGCTTCAGAGAATTCCCGAGTAATCTCAGCAAAATGAACACGTGGGGAAGGTACAGAGACAGGGGAGGCCTTAATGCACATTGATTCCACAGCCCCCCACTTCCTCTCAAACATGAAAGAAGCTGTACAGCAGCAAATAGAGGGGGAATTAAATCAGACAACTGTACAGAATACACAATTTACCTTTAACTTTAATTAAAATAGAGTTTATTAGCTTTTCTTTTAATACAAACATGAGAAAGGAAAACCACCTGAAGATGTAGCATTATTTCCAAAATTCAGTTGTGATCAATACCTGAAGTGCCAAGTTCCATGGATCTGAGAGCCAGGGGCAGGCATATTTGCATACCACAAAAGACAAAATGCATCATTTTAACAGCTGAGTGTAGCCGGACTGATTGTTACACTCAGACCCCCACTCCCTACCCTCCACTCTCAAAAGCATGTGGACTCACCGTTTAGTGTGAGTTTCTGGACCTTGGCTAGATGAAGTGCACAGAAACTGTGCCATTTGGAGGGAGATCTGCTCCTAGACAAACAGCCTAGAATCTATTTGGATCCAAGAAGGGAAGATATTACAAAGGCATGTAACAGGAAGAGTCTAGTAATACTTATCCTGCTCAGAGTTCAGTTTCAGAGCCTGAAAGTAAGGTCCATTCCAAAGTCTCAGAAGGAACAAAAACCCAAGCCTTAAAAGCAGTTGCACAAAATAAAATTCACTTTGGAGGAAAAAGGAAAAAAAAGTTTTACAGAAATATTTTTGATAATTTTCAATTAATTTTTTTTTTCAGTCTACCTGGTTAGGTAGTCCAAGATTCTCAAACTCTATCTTATCATGATTGTAAATCCCTCCCAAGAAACAAAGCCTCAGTGGGAGCCAAATGGATGCACAATATCAGCTTTAGGAACTCCACTGTATATAGCACAAGAGATCTGCAGTAGAACTCGAGAAGCGGTGCTGCACACATGCCGTTCACCACTGGATTGCTACGCTGTTTGGGATGGTGATGATATTTCCAGACCAACTTTCTCATTCAATGCCTCAAAAAAATATACAGCTTGCGTCTCTTCCAGAGCAATAACAAGTATTAGAAAATGAGAGAAGCACCATAGTTCACAAGAAATGCAGCATGGACCCTATATATTTTAACAATACAGAAAACCATCTCTCTGCCACCACTCAAAACATACTAAGTCCTTTGACAGTCTGCTGGAGTGAAGTTGTTGGTGCAGAGTTGGGATTCCTTCCTGCTGTGCAGCTTCTTGGTTATGAACAGATCACCAATAATAGCAGCTTTTAGTAGCCAAACCAGGGAAAAACCATCAACACAAGTCAAGGCTGTTTGTTGTTTTCAGCTCCAGAATTGTTTGATACTTTAAAGAGTCCCACGTCCTGTTTTGTTTTTAACACCGCATTGACCTGAAGTACAAATGCGGCGGGACTCTGTAGGACAGGGGAGAGGAGGGAAGAACGTTGTAACTATAGTCATGTGGTTAGTGTTTAAATTCTAAAATTTAAAACTACTTGTTATTAAAAACCTCAAGAGTTCACAGCTATAGGCCTACATAGTAAGCAAACATCTGTGGGAAAAAGATGGAGAGAAGTTTGTTTTTGCATCTCTGGATAAATTAAAGAGGAGAGAGTGGATTTGACAAAGATCTTGTCTTGCACCAAGTAT